GCAGAAGTGCAGCCTCAGCAGGCCACTGCAGAGCGGCGTCAACCTCTCCAGGACAATTGTAGCCAAGAATGTGGACAGTCCTTTTGACCAAGTGCCTTAAGGAACAGTCTGAACATAGATCATATCAATTCTGACAACCACAAGATAGATTAGGCCCCAATGGGGCTGGACAGCTTGTGGATCAATGTGATGTGAGAAGCTAGCCATCACTCTAATATGCTGTATGAATATAGTTCATCTGCTTGACTATATAACAGTACTCTACGACAGAGAAGGCCATGGAATCAACTGTAGCAACCTGTGTTTTTTTAATTTCATTCACATTTTATTTCATTCCTTTTCCCCTGACATATGTTTACTCAAAGATCAGAGTAAATAAATTATTGGTGCCCTAGAAGAGAGACTTAATCTATTCCATACTTTTTCTAACTTTTCAAGTATCACATACAGTATGTACCCACCTATGATTCCCACATCTTTTTTAAAAAAACCACACAAGCATTTCTCTCACTCCTTTTCCTCTTTCCTGCATTTTCTTAGATCAGTGACAAAGCCTTTTGCCACTACTATTGTAATGGGCTTGATTCTGATTAACAAGGCTGTTGCTGTTCCTTACACCAGTCCCATCCATTTTGTACACAGGATTCAATCTAGCGAGAAACCATTCCCTTCAGTTTTACAATCTTTCATTTTGGTGAGAGCCACTTTAGCAGCTACCAGAGGACCAGATTACCCATCTCTGACATAGGGGTTTGTTTAACTACCATCAATTCTGTTGGTTCCCATCTGTCATTCTTAGAGTACTTAACTGCTTGATGTGACAACTTCAATATGGTTTCCATGGCCCGTTCTCCCCTTCTTTATTTAGGATGCTGGGGTGGGGGTAGGTTTTTTTTTTTTTTTTTTTGCGACTGTGACCATATTCACATCTCACAGAGTTGTAGCACTCTATAAAGAGCCATGTTCTCAGAGAAGTACCTAAATTTAGGCAGAATGGAGAAAAGATGAGGCATTACTCTCTAGGGTTTGTTGTCCCCTTCCCTGCTCCTTCCCCCCCAAGTCCTTGGGGCTTTAGCTTGAGTCACCCTGTTGCCTCAGGGTATGAGTCACTGCCTCAACTCTGAAATTGTTGACCCAGATTTTAGGTTCCCAGCAAATATTTACAGCTGTAGCTGAAGTAACATCCCACAGCCCCCGGGCTGGAACCAGCCCAGCCTTCCTGCTGGCCTGGACTTTATGGCTGCTTTTCTGTGCAAAAACTGAGTGGGGCCTCTGTCTGGGAAGGAACACTGCTCTGTCAAGCAGACTCCATTTGAAAACAGGCTGCCATGATCTTTGGATCAGATCAGGTATCACAAAAGCGGAGCGTCTCGCCTCAAATTGCCCAACCCGGAATGGCAAGGGTGAAGTCTTTAGGGAGTCTAGCTTTCTCTGTTGTATTCAGCAAGCGTAACCAGCAAAACAGTGACTAGAATAGATTGCAACCATCCATCTGGAGATCTTGTCTCTGATCAGAAGAAAGTTCAATCGGTGGTGGCCCTGCTTTGCGAGTGGAATGTTGGAGGGATGTTTGGCCTTCAGGGCTTCCCCTTTCTTTTCCTGTGGTCCTGATCTTGGCCTTCAACTCTCTGTCCTATAAATATGAAGCTGGAAAAGCTGGAAATGCTTTAGGGATAAGAAAAATGTAAATGTTTGTATTATAGGGTATTATAGGATGCAGGAATAGTGTCACTGTATCTATCAACTCTTTCTGCTTATTACAAGATCACCAGTAGTGATTTGTAACATTTTCTAGAGCCAACGTAACTACTGTATATAATAAGAACAGGCTACAGATCTCTTCAAACCATGACTGGATGGTACTAGAAGATACTTACAAGCCAATAAGGGCAAAATTAGTATTGTGCTTCTGTCCAATTGTGTGATCGTAAAGCCTCTTTCTGGCTTTAGTGGTTTATAGTCACAAATTTCATCCCATGTAGTTCTTAATTCTAAACCAGATATGTCAAACACAAGGCCCGGGGGCTGGATGCAGCCCGCGAAGTAGTTTCATGTGGCCCGCGAAGCCATCCTGGAAACAGTGAGGGAACGGCCCCCGTTGCCTTGGCCCTCCAGTGGACCACGCCTTGACACTTGCCCTGGTCCCACCCCCTTCTGCCAGAGACCCTCAGATCTATCCCACTCCTGCCCAGGCCCCCACAGGCACCCTTGACGCGAACAATGTAGAGCTGGCCACGCCCACCCAGTAGGCCACACCCACTCCATCCACACCCACCCAGTAGGCCACACGCACTCTTCCCCCCCGCCCCCCACCCCCGAAGGCAACAACAATGCTGATGCGGCCCTCAATGAAATTGAGTTTGACACCCCTGTTCTAAACCATGTAAGAGTTTATTGTTTCTTGGGATAGATTAACTTGTGCTGAGGAAATCCCCAGAACTGGATGAACCCTCACAGTTGAAGAACTTTTAACCTTAGGAACAAACCTGGAGTATGCTTTCAAATAGGAATACCAGAAGTACAGGTTGATGGAAGCATCTAAAAAGCACTAAGGGGTAAAAAGATTTGGCCAACTGAGAGACTGATAGAGATAATGGAGCATGATTTTAGCAATTTCTGGATTAGTCTCTGAAGCTCAGCATGGCTGAACGGTGCCAGGTGCTTCAGCCCTTTGCTTGCCTTCTGACAGATGTTCCATCCAGAGGAAACTCAGAAGCACAGAGGCAGAGCAAAGAGCAGCTTTGCATAGTTTTCATTCCCCCGCTTTCTTAAATCTTGTGTCCCAACATGCCTGGATTCCCTGGGGGCCTTTCTTGGTCTGCAAGGCTGAATACTAATTAAAGTTCCATTTCTCCTGCTGAATCCAAGTGTTCAGGGAGCCCTTCAGAAAAGCACACTTATTCCCTACCCCTCTTCAAAACTTTGGTATGCACATCCTTGAATACTGCAGGCACACTTCGAATATCAGTTCTGCTGCTCTGATGGCCTTGTCACTGTAGCTGTCACCCTCTGCAGTCTGTGAAATCTCCATTAAGACATAGCCTGAAGCTGAAATCTGTGCTCATGAATAAAGTTTGATGTCCTATTCTCTGCCCTGGAACTTAATCACTACTGTCCAGCTGGGTGTCTGGGAAGCATTTATACCACATCAGCCTTACTGAGCAAAGGAATGCTTTAAGTCAAGTTGGGCCATTGGAGCATCTAGGTCAGGATCCTCTGCACAAAGTTGTAGTGGCTTTCCAAACAGAAGAAATAGATGTCCCGGACTGAGACTTCTGCACATAAAACACAATCTCCCCACTATGGGAAGATTATATGGGCTGGGAGAGTGCTGCTCTGGGCATCCATGCATCTTCAGAGGAAAAAAATGAGTCTCTGAATTTATTGTGGAGGATCTGGATTGGTCAACACTCTGAAAAATGTTATTCAATGGTAAATAGAAAAAAATCTGTGGCCTGCCAGATCTTGCTGAAATATAAGAGCCAGTCCATTCAATTAGGAGGAATGGTATGTGTGTGTGTCAGGGACTGTTTGAGGATGGTTGTATATGGGATGAAAGGGACTGAGAGAGGGGCAAAGGAATAAAGAAGGAACAGAACTTTAGAACTTGAAAAGTCGTGTACAAATTAAACGTGGGGTAGCTTTTTCAGCGATTGAGGGGTTTATCCCAGAATCTGGTTCCTGAAGCCATGCCATTCAGGCATGAGGTATTTTAGTAAAGGGTAAATGTGTTTTAAAGCATGACAAAATGAAATGAGAAAGGGAAGAGGATGATGAAGAAAAAAACCCCTTCACACGCACACACTCATGAATTTAGATTCTGGGGGTGCCAAATGGCAGAACACTCAAAGCCTTGGAGCAGCCTCCTTTCACCAAAGAGAGAAGCAAGGCTTGAAATGGGACACAGCAATTTTCCCGAGGCCATACGCTACAGGTAGTCCTCGACTTGCAACAGTTCACTTAGTGACCATTCAAAATTACAACGGCACTGAAAAAAAGTGACTTACGACTTTTGAAGCATCCCCATGATCATGTGATCAAACTTCGGATGCTTGGCAACTAGTTCATATCAGTGGTGGGATTCAAATATGTGAACAACCGGTTCTCTCTGTGGATGCCGCTTCCGGAAGTCCATTCTGGGCCTGGGCAACAAAAAAATTAGCTACCGGTTCTGCCGAGCTGGCTGAATCCCATCACTAGTTCCTATGTATGACTGTAGCTGTTTTCCCGAAGTCATGTGATAGATCCCCTTTGGTGACCTTCTGACCAGCGAGGTCAATGGGGAAGTCAGATTCACCATGGTACTAATTGACCGCAGCGATTCACTTAACAACTGTGATAGGAAAAGGCGTGAAATGGAGCAAACCTCATCTAACAAATGCCTCACTTGGCAACAGAAATGTTGGGTTCAAGTGTGGTCGTAAGTCGAGGACGACCTGTATCTGTGGAGCGGAGTAATCCGTTCTGCTGCCAGAGTTGCCTCATAGCCAGGGGTAGGCAACCTTGGCTCTTTTATGACTCATGGACTTCAACTCCCAGAATTCCTGAGCCAGCACGGCTGGCTCAGGAATTCTGGGAGTTGAAGTCCATGAGTCATAAAAGAGCCAAGGTTGCCTATCCCTGAACTAAGCCGACCGGGCGGGCGGGGGGGCTCCAGGGCTGCTACCAAGGGGTGTCGGGTCCGGGAAAGGCCGGAACCCGGGCTTCCAGAACAGGTCTGCATCTCCCTCGCCACAAGCTCGCCCCAGTCCAAGCAATGGGGCTCTGCAGGGCCCGTCCCCGTTTCCGGGAAGCCGCTTCGTCGTCTGCCCGGGGGCTGCCTGAGCGACTTGCCTGAGCGTGCGAGGGGGGGGGAGGGGGGGGAGGAGCAGGGCGGGGCCAGGCGGCTCTCTCGGCTCGCGCTGGCTGCCGGCCCCCCTGCTAGAGAGAGAGAGAGAGGGAGAGAGGGAGAGAGAGAGAGAGCGCGCAAGAGAGAGGCAGAGCCCAGGCGCCGATTGAGGATGGCGGGCAGCCCCGCGGGACTGCGGGGCCACCTGGTCTGCTTCCTGGCCCTCCTGTTGCGAGAACTTCCCCGGGCGAGGGCAGGTAACGCCGGCTGGGTGTCCGAAGGGGGGTCGGGGCGGGCAGGTCGGGGAGGGTGTGCTGTGGGACGGGAGCGACCGTCGAGCGCCCTCCAGACAGCGCCTAGCACAGAGGGCGGAGGCTTAGCGGGACTAAACAAACAGCGGCGGTTCCTTGGGCAGCCCAGATGTTTTGTTGGGGGGGGGCGAGGGGGGTGCTGCTGCTGCTGCTGCTGCTTAGAAGCGATTCTCGAACCTCGCGAGTGACCCTCCCTCGGTATTTAACCTCTCCTCTCCCCGCCCCGGCCAGCACCTGCTCCACAGGTGAAGTGCAAAGAGCCTTCCGAACTTCGTTCCCACGACAAGTTGAGAGCGACGAAATAAAACCGAACCTCACCCAGGTTCGCACAACTAACTCAGCCCGGCTTGTTAGGCGAGTGTTCTCTTGCAAAGAGGGGACGGGGTCGGAAGGAAGGAAGGAATGTAAAGCTTTCTGTTCACGGACCCGACTGAAGCGACGGAGTTGGAGGGTTTTTGGCGTTCCTCTCGCAAATTCATTGCGAGCCAAGAAGTAGCTGCTGCTGCTGCTGCTACTCTCAGGGGGTGTTTAACACGTCCGTGGCTTGTTTAGGACAAGGAAGGAGGCACCACCTGCTTTAGGAGCCGCCACGCTCAGTTATGCGCACCTTTGGCAGGTTTCTGTTACCAACCGTCCCCTTCAAAGGAAGCTCTGTCCCGGGGTGATAAAAAATAACAATAAAATCTTTTTTTCAAGTCAAGAGATATTGTTTATTAAGAGTCTAATGGTTTTTCAAACAATGAAAATGAGTGTGATTAAAGGATATTATTCTTAACACAAATGTCTCTGGGAACAGCTGGGAGTAATCACTGACTTTCAATTATAACTTCCTCCCACAGTTTTTAAGACGATGTTTCCTGGGAAGTGGGAGGAAGGATCACACAAACAAAATATGCAGTACTGTACCTCTTGTGGCGGCGATATTTTTTATTCATTTACAAAGTTATGTGGCATGTTGATTAATTGATACGGTTAAATTATAATGTAAACAATTGATAGTCCTAATATTGTAGTATCGCAATTTGCCAATGTCTACGGTTAAATTATAATGTAAACAATTGATAGTCCTAATATTGTAGTATCGCAATTTGCCAATGTCTACGGTTAAATTATAATGTAAACAATTGATAGTCCTAATATTGTAGTATCGCAATTTGCCAATGTCTACTCCATAAGATCACATATTGAAAACATGTTATCATATGTTACTCAGTCTGTGGTAAAGTAGTTTTTTCCCCCTTAACAGTTAATAGAAGAAATGGCAGTAGTCTATCACAAATAAAAAGTTGTCATCTTGCATATGCCAGTGTGTTTGTGATGGGGTTGGCTAGTAATTCTTTGTCTGTACTGTAAGCAACAAATGAGACCTGTCTCTGTGGGGTTTGTCCTGTTCCTGACGCCAACTTATCCATCTTCTAAAATATTCTGTTCATTATCTTCTCTCAGTCTTAGATTGTTTTGATACCATTTATCTCATTGGGCTAATTTAAGAACTTTCTCTCATCCTGGTGCTTTTGCTTTTCAGCAAATCTAGAGTTTCTCCATGATACAGTTCCCTTTTTACTGGTATTATAAAAGAATGTACAATTGGAGAATAAGTTTAAAATTAAGATATTATGTTGCAGACCCCGGTTTAAAAAACCACCCCCAGATTAAAACTTCTCTAAAATTATTTCTCAGAAGAAGGCAACTTCAGATAAAACCATTTCAGAAAAAAATATGTGTGAATTAACAATTACATATTTACCCAGAAGCAGAAACATCTTGGATGAAGTGTTAGATACGTCAGGCACATATGTCCCAGAAATTTAAAGAATCCTTTTATAAGGAGCTTTTATAGAATGACGTTGCTTCCCCATACCATACTTCTAATTGACTGCTATGAGCTATAAATTTGAAGACTGCTTTACATTATATTGTTTCCAAGCTACTGGTTCTTATAGTCCTATTTGTGGCACATTAAAGACATACTTAAAAACTGCTGTTTGTGCAGAAATATGCTTTGGAGAACTTTAAACAGGTATCTTGCAGTATTTTACTGGAGAGAACAGTGTTCCAAACTTCCAGTTCTCCAAACAAAAACTTGCAATTGATTACTATAACTTAAGAGTGTTCTGGTCTTAGAAATCCAAGAATCTTGGGGAAAGGGCATGGTTGGATGAAATGCCAATTGACCACGCCCTTTCCCCAAGATTCTTTCTTCGTTTAGTTTTCTGTACCTCCAGCAAAAGTAAAATTTCCTTCTGATGAAGCTCAGATACCAATGATTGCATGGACACGTTTTTGTAGCTTACTTGGCAAAAGTGTAGAAGACGTTTGCCTTAGTTGTCTTCTGTTTTTCTATCTTTACCTCCTGGTCTTGAAATTCCCAGGGACACCCTCCCATCCAATTACCAACCAGGGCTGACCCTGTTTAGCTTCTGAGATCAGCAAGCCTACTTAAATGCTATCTTCTCCAGAACTGGTACTGTACTCCATGGTTACTGAACCTGCTAAGTTCTTAAATTGCTGGTTGAAAGTTCCCCCAAACCTTTTGTTTCATTGCTTTTGTGGGTGTCCTTTTGACTGTTTAAGGATTTACACATAAACAGCTGAATTGGTTGAATTTCCATATGAAACTGTATTCTAGCAGAGTAAGTGTTTTTGTCTATTCCACAAATTGGCATTGTTTGTTGTACTTTGAAGAATAAAATTTATTGCTGGAAACCTTTGGTGGACTACAGCCCACTTCATCTGGAATTTATTATGCTATGACTTCTAGCACTTAATTCTCTTCCTCCTCCTGTCTCCATTTTTGGACCACCTTATCCTCTATGAGGCATTGCTATTACAAGTGAAGCAGGCACCATAGTTACTAGCAGCAGAATCTTCTTGATTAGGAAGAAGGGCAGGGGGCTATGCCCCCTGATGTGGCACTTCAAGCTTCAAGTCCTCAGTGAGTCCAAAACAGCATTGCCATCTCCCTGGGGGTTTGTTCCGGTGTTTCCTCCCTGCCAGTTAGTCATTCATTCCATCCATTCAGGCATATTTTTTGGATGAGGAATGATTATGGATGGGGACTGAGCTGCCAGTCTTTAGTCCTTAATAAACTGCTGTATTAAATTCCCCCTAAGGAAAATCTGAGAAAGGGATCTTTGCAATGAATCAGAAGCAAATAGTGGCTGAGCTCCTGTCCAGAAATGTTACTGTTCATTGAATAAAGAACTCCAAGGAGATAAAAGGGATGACTGATGACAGCAGCAAGCTGGGATCCAGTTTGATGGGACAATTATGCTGATGCAGCTCTACTAAAGCTGGATATATCGTCTTATAGAATGACACCCCCCTTCACCTCACCCCTGGCTTTGGCTATTCCCTGGAAACATCAGCTTAAATCTGTATTGTTTACAATAGCATCTGAAGAAAAGTCATAAGGGAATTGTTAGCCTGCCTAGTTTTAATCTGCTACTTAATTCTGTTGTAGTTCTAGCCTTCTGTAAGTTTATTTTAATTCATTGTTGTTTTTTCTCCTCCTTAAATGTGGTATCTGCTTTTTTCTTTCTTTCTGAGTTGCGTTTTTCTCTATTCCCATATCAGCTGCTTTTTTTGGAAAGGCAGTGAGAAACTATGGTTTCAGCAAAATACAGTAAATTGGTAACAGGGAACAAAGTTATAAAAATCTCATAGCCCTCCCTTAGATCTTACTTCCAGGTGGCTGATGAGAAGGCTTGCACAGAAGGGAAGTATAAAAGCAGATTTTTTTTTGTAGCTGCCCATGAAACTGTGGTAAATAATCCTACTGAGCATCCCAGTAAGATACCTGAACAGAACTTTTTAAAAATAGATGTATATGTGTGTGTATTCAATTTCACTATAATTTTCAGTGTAGCTATATCAACTGGATCTTTTTTCAAATAAGTATCAAATAAGATTGAAAAAAAATGCTGTATTGTTACAATGGCCCTCAAGAATGAATGCCTCCTATTATGGGTGTTTCTTTCCATCATGCTGCTTAAGAATACTCTCTTATGTTATTTCTCATTTTTTAAAACATTTTGCCAGGGTGGCTTATGTTAGCAACTCAGAAGCATTGACAATATAGAAAGGGGTAGATAATCTGTTGGCTTCTGGGTATTTATCTATAACTTCTGTGATTCCTGACCAAGTCTGGACTCTTTTGGACATTCAGTCTCTTCCTTAAAAATCTTGTGATCAGGAAACTGCAAAAGCGCAAATCAAATAAATGTGCACATTTTAACCTCTTCTTCTCATTGCTGAAAAGTTTAATTCTTTTTTATTGTCTGCTGTCTGTGCACACACCCATTCACAATGGGACATTCCTGGCAGGAATGTTTTTCAGGCAAGCTATTAAAACAACATCAATAACAACAAAAAATAGTTTGATTGAAAACAAATGAAATAGGGAGAGATGCCAACGCAGGCTCCCTGGTCTCTGTCGTTCTCTAATTTATTGCTTCCCCTTTCTCTCAGGATTCAAAAGGATTGTACCTTGCCAGCTGTTCCCTTCTTTAATCCAAAATTATCTAATCCTGGATCAGGTGCAAAACAATAGCTCAAGAAGAGAACATAGGATTAAGGGACAGACTGCCTCTGAGCATGTATTCAAGCCCAGAAATTATTTTTCAGCTCTGGAGCTGAAAATCAAATGCTATTGTAAACCTTAAAGATTAATTTATATCCTGTTTTCTGCATCACAAATCCTGATGAAAAACTCTGGAAAATTTTAAAGTTTAATTTACCCTTTATAAAGTTTCTTTCCCTCATGCTACCCAAGAACCATCTCTTATATTGTTTCTTATTTTTCAAACATTTTGCCATGTTGCTTGATTTTCAACTGCACATAAACAAGGAATATATTCCTTCTGGAAAAGAAAACACATATATTTTCTTTGTGGACCAGATTATGTTTGCTTGACACCTACTGCTTCTATTTTATGTTGAACTTT